GGACAGAATTATCATCTTATCAGTAGTTTGCTTCCTTCTGAAGGTGCATGTCCGAAGTTCGCACAATTATATATATATATGATACGGAGAATGAAGTTTCAAACAGAATGAATGTTCTGAGGTATAAATTCACTCTACTTGATATTCAATATTTGTTTAAGTGTTTTTCTTTCTAATTTTTTATTCATATATACTGTTCAAAATGTCTTTCTCGAACATATAATGATAATTCTTATTAATTTTCTTGCAGAAACGGATCTGGGAATAATAATTTGCATGAGGATAGTTGTTGGGTTGAAACAAATGTTGGATCGACACAACGAATTGGTGAAATCATTTCGTATGGCTAGGGATAGAATGCAGGAGCATGGCGAATCAAATGTTCGAATGCGTTTGATTGGTCGGAGATATAAAGTTGCCAGACGATATAATTTGCCTACAAGTTCAGAAGTTGTTGTATTGGTTGTTGGCGATTTTGACCTGTCAATGGGTGAAATGGACATATTGGTCGAAACTAGGAACGGTCGTCTTCAACTGATAAATGAACTTAATGCTTCATATTTGGCATTCCAATATCCTCTTTTGTTGCCTTATGGTGAGGATGGGTATCGAGAGGACATACCGTTTAGGGAAGGCACGAAGGTAAAACAAGGCGGTCGAAAATATGTTAGTGTGCGAGAGTATTTTTCATATGGAATGCACGATCGAGAACATGAAGCATCGACTATTGTTTCATCTAGAAGATTGTATCAACAGTTTACTGTCGATGCTTATACCGTGGTTGAATATGCGAGGTTGCGGTATATACGTCTCAATCAAAAAAAGCTCCGTTGTGATTTGTACAAAGGTGTGGCTGAGGCCGTTCTCCGTGGTGACACTGATCCAAGAGCCGTAGGAAAAAGAATAATTCTTCCCTCAAGCTTCACTGGTGGTGCTCGTAATATGATTGAAAACTATCAATATGCAATGGCAATTTGTAGATGGGCTGGGTACCCTGATTTGTTTATTACACTCACGTGTAACCCCAAATGGCCAGAAATATTTGAGGATAGACCAGATATCGTCTGTAGGGTCTTTCGAGCAAAACTTAAGGAATTAGTTAGGGATTTTTGTCAAAAGGAAATATTTGGGAAGGTTATAGCAGGTGAACCATTTGATAATGTATATAAAGGTGACAACATATTTATTAATCATTTACAAAAAAAATACTTTTAACATTTATTTATTTTGAATAATAATATTAACTACAGTTTTATATTGCAGTTATATACACGATCGAGTTTCAAAAATGTGGTTTACCTCACGCTCATATACTGCTCTTCCTTGCTAGGGAGGTCAAATTTCCCGACCCATCGGACATAGATAGAATCATCTCTGCAGAGTTACCAGATCAATCATCTGATCCTCTATATTACGAGGCAGTAAAGGAGCATATGATCCATGGACCGTGTGGCCTGGTAAACAAAAACTCACCCTGTATGGTGGATAGCAAATGTACTAAAAATTTCCAAAGAAGTTCGTTGAGTCCATAACTGTTGACGAAGATGGTTATCCATGGCATAGACGTCGTGACAATGGAACATCTCAAGAAAAGAATGGCATTGTTGTTCACAATGGATATGTCGTGCCTCATAATCGTGGTCTGCTTATAATGTTTGGAGTGCATATTAATGTTGAGTGGTGCAATCAATCACGATCTATAAAATATCTATTTAAATATGTCAACAAGGGTAATGATCGTGTGACTGCATCATTCCATCAAAAGTCTACAGAAGGGCATATTGAAAGACCGTTGGATGAGATAACAATGTATTACGATTGTCGGTACATATCTTCGTGTGAGGCGGCATAGCGGTTGTTGGGTTTTGAGTTGCAGTACAAAAAACCTCCTGTCCAGCATTTGAACTTCCACTTATTTAGAGAACATAACCTTTTATTTGACGAAGATGATGATCTTGAAAATGTTATCAATAAACCCACAGTTGATGAAAGCCAATTTCTTGCGTGGTTCGAGGCAAACAAAATTATATCCTAAGGCAAGAGAACTAACGTATGTTGAGGCACCATCAAAATTCATGTGGAATACAACAATCAGGCAATGGACACCTCGAAAAGATGAGGACCAACCCTCTGTAGGCCGTTTACGATAAGTACCTCCTGGCAGTGGAAATAATTACTACTTGAGATTATTGCTCACTGTTGTGCGTGGGGCAACATGTCATGAGGACTATATGAAAGTCGGTGAAGTCCAGCATCTAACGTATCGTGATGCTTGCTACAAGCGCGGTTTGTTGGAGGACGATTGGGAGTATATAGACGGCATTACAGAAGCAAGTCAATGGGCTTCTGCAGACTCCCTTAGACACATGTTTGCATCTTTGTTGGTGTCCGGTTCATTTAGAAGGCCGGATGATGTCTGGAAAAAGTGTTGGCAATGCATGTCAGATGACATTTCGTACAGACATCGCCGACTACACAATAATGATGGTAATCAATTACTTTTTATAAGTAGGAATAAAAAAAATATTAAAACGATTAGAACATTGTATACATATTATACAAAAGTAATTGGTTTATAGGTTTGGTGCTCACTGAAGAACAAATCAAGAACCTGACCCTTGCTAAGATTGAGTTGTACTGTGCTTAGGCTTACGAAAAACATATGGAGGAGTTGTACTGTGCTTAGGCTTACGAAAAACATGCGCCTTCAGGGACTTGCTAATTTAGATGAACGTGATGAGCTTGCATGGTTCGCAGATTGGATAGCCAACATCAGAGATGGAACTATCGGAGGGTTGAATGATGGATGTGCACCTATAGACATACCCGATGACATTTTGCTTCAGCCATCTGATGATCCTATTGCTCAGATCGTTGAAAGCACATGTCCATTGTATAAAGAGGCACCCGACGATCCAAGTTATTTGAAGGATAGGGCTATATTAGCGCCGACGTTGAATGTGGTCGAGTCTATCAATCAGTACATGACATCATTGAATTTGTTGGATGCTCGTATGTACTTGAGCTTTGACAGTAAGTGTAAATCGAATTATAATAATTATTTTTTGTCTGATCTCCATACGCCTGAGTTTTTGAATAGTATCAAGTGTTCCGGAATACCGAACCATGAGTTGCATTTGAAGATTGGAACTCTAGTCATGTTGTTGCGGAACATGGATCATTCTATGGGTTTGTGTAATGGGACACGATTGATAGTGACAAAGCTATCGACTCACGTTCTTGAGTGTAAGATACTTAAAGGAGATCATGCTGGTGATAAGGTGTTGATTCCAAGAATGGCCATAACTCCTTCTGATGTTAGAATTTCTTTCAAGTTCCAGCGGCGACAGTTTCCCGTTATGGTTTCTTATGTCATGACTATAAACAAGATCCAGGGACAATCCTTATCTCATGTTGGCTTATTTCTTAAGAAACCAGTGTTCAGTCATGGTCAGTTATATGTTGCTGTTTTCCGTGTCACTAACCGAAAAGGTTTGAAAATCTTAATTTGTGGCGAAGATGACGTGCCAAAGAATCAAACCAATAATGTTGTATATAGGAAAGTGTTCAATAATATATGATCTTTTCAATTTAATGATATGTTTATATGTCTCTTATTATAATCATGATCATTTCCTGCATAATACAATTTATATACAAAATTGTTTTTTAAAAACAGTCTGGACAATAATATCCCCGTGCATTGCACAGGGGATTACTAGTTAAGAAGTAAGTGCGGGTAGTACATTTATAATGTAAGAATCTTATATTAGGATGTTTGTGAAGAATCTCACTGTATAATGTAAGACTGAATATATGTATAATTAAGGAAGACCTTGAGTTTTTCTACATTCTATTCATCCGGAATCATATTCATAATCATTCTCGTAAGAGAAGATCTTATCACCATCGTGGTGCTCCATGCGTACCGGTGAACTTGGAGGAAACCCGGTAGGGATGGAGGGACCACATGGATCGCCAGCAACAACTTTCTCTTCATAATCAATTCCAATGTGTCTATAATGTATAATGTTTAATACGATGATTGTCAAAAAGAAAAAAAAAAGGTGAGGGTCGGTCGGCGAACTGCCATAAATTGGGTCAGGGCACAGGCCCCACCTAGACCCGTCGTGGGTCGCGGGCCAAGTCGGGTCCACGGGGAAGAAACGCGGGCCAGGTCCGAGTCCGCAACTACCCGGCCGACCTGGCCCATTGCTATCCCTAATTTTGAGTTATGTCAATGTTTTTTTTTTTCTCATCAGTTTTGCTATGAAGCCATCAGATGACACGACTTATGGAGTCTTCTACACTTATTCACAAATAGTGTATTGACACGTGTCTTACAATAAATACACTTTGGACAGGTGTCGATACACTAAATGACGGATGACTTTTTAAGAAAATCATCCGATGGCTCCATAGAATTTCTGTTTTTCTTATTAGGTGGATGAATTTCTTTCATTTTTTTTACTATGTTTATGTGGATGAATTGCGACGAAGTGAAATAATAGTGATGTTCGTTTGAAAAAGATCCAAACTATTATACAATTTAAAATAAGTGATCCACCATGAAGAAATAATATTGAGTTTCAAAAAATTGCATAGTCGAGTTCCTATTTATTCATCTTTTTTATTTTATTTTATTTTATTTTATTTTTTAATTTTTATTTTTTCAATTCAAACGGATAAATTCATTAAAACTCCAAAAAGTACACAGCTTCAACTGAAGCAAACAAGAGAAAAGGGGGATGTAAAGACTACACCAACCAAAGGATACACGAAAACCTAACCAAATAGAGAAAGAACATGAGTTTCGATCTATTCATCACAAAAGAGTATATTGTTACATACACATAACTTATTAATATCCATCCCAATCAAATTTTTTTACATACAATCTATCACGCTTGCCACCCTCGTGGGCTATATAAATGCCATCACTTCTCGTTGACCAATAACAATAGGAATACGGTTTTTGTATAAATTTTGATTTGAAAACATCAAAACTTTTCTGTTTGGACCCCCACCACAAATGGCAGAAAAACAGAGTACGAGGTGACTGACAAAACTTCCAATCAAAATGTTGGTTAACTGAAAGCGTATGGAAGCCAAGTTCGTCATCTCCAGAAGCACAATGCAACGTTACTCGTTGGTTTGGAGGAAGATTGTTAATGACACTTATGTGAATTTCGTTTGCAAAGTGACATAAAGAATGTGCGATATGGCATACATTAAGCACAACGAGAAAAAAAAGCACCCAAGTTCTTTTCAAAGTGTGCTTCATTGTATTGTTTCAGGAATTCTAAGTGCAATTGCCATTTAGAAACGCTCTTATTATGTAGTGGTTTAGAATCTTAGGATATATGAAATCAAGTCTGCTTATATTAGATTCTACAACAAGATTGATTGTTTTTAGAGAATATACCAAAAAGTCACATTCAAGGTCTTCATTTTGTTTGCATATTGTCTATGTTCAATTGAAAATAAATATTATATTTATGTACATCAATAAAGAATTAAGTTCATTTATCATTCTTATTTGAATTAATTAGAGAATATATCATGGATTCATAAAACAACTTGTAAGAATATTGGTTTGGCATTGTTCGATAAACCTAATTGTTTTCTAGAATATTTTCTTGTTAGGCAAACAAAATAAATTAAAGAGAAGTTTTCTATTTATTTACTTGTGAATTAATTAATTTCCTAGTATTTATTATTAATAATATACTAGTACGTAGCCCGTGCGGTGCAGGGGACAGAGATATTAAATGAGTTATTTTCACAGGCTCTGTCTGTTTAAGTCAAAAAAGCAATAGGGTTATCATCTATTTTCCACCTCTTTTAATCAACGTTAAGTCCAAAAAACAATAGGGTTATAATATATTTTTTACTTTTCTCAATTCGTGTTGTTTTTTTAGTCAGAACATTATATATGAGTACGTATGGCTAGTTTGTATAATAATTAATATATTATCTCACTAACACATTTATACTAATATAAATTTGATTTTAGTATATATATTTATTCCTTGATATAAGAGAAAATAACAGTTTTACTTATTCATGTTCACCATATAATACTGAATTATTATTTTATTATAAACTTTGTTGTCATATATAGTTATAGAAGTTGTACGTTCTTCTTATTCTTTTCATTTTATGTAATGAAAAATACTTAATGCACGTTAGTATTATTTATTTTTGTAATCAATTTAAAATATGCAAATAAATTTAAAATTGAATAGTATATAAATATTTTACAAAATATACATACAAGTTTTTTTTTAGAATTTAATTTTTTATAATAATTAAACAACTTTGATTTATTAAGTTCCCAAAACTCAATCTCTTCTATAATTAATATTTTTCTAATTTGCATTATAAGGATTTATAGTTTTTTTAGCATACTCTTTAATGAAAATATATTTAAAGTTCATTATAGAAAGAAATCAAAATAAAAAAAAATGATAAAAAAGATGATAAAAAAAAATAATCATGATTGCCAATAATATACAAAATAAATTTAAAAGAACAATTAATATATTTGACCATTAGTAAAACTATTTAATGTATCTTGCCATTATCTCTTAAATGATAAATTATATTAATTTGAAGAATAATTTATTTTTTATATATGATAAAATAAAGCTTAAGGAAAAATTATATTGGCAAAGATTAATTCACCAACTTGATTTCGCCTAATTAATTGGAAGAAAAAATTCTACTTAATCTGATACGGCTTTCTATGAGTATTTTTGGATAAAAAGTGAATATTTATGGAAAAAAAATAATATTATGGTTAGAACTTAACATATGTTGTAATATTTATCTTAACCAAAAATATTATCAACATGTATCACGGAAAATCAGTCTTGTAATTTATTATAATGGATATCAATGAAATTGTTGCAGATATTAATAAAATTGTTTAAGGAAACATTATTTGATCATATCTGGTTTGATTTTATTTGAAAACGTGTATATGAAAGCAATTAATGCATATATTTAAAACGTTTCTAAAAATGTATGCAGTAAATGCTCCCAAAATTTCTTACTACTATTTTTAGTAAATGTTTATTCTTATTAGATACATATAGATGGTATATATTTATTATAATATATATTTTAGAGTCCTAATCCTTTATGAGAAGGATTACATAATAATCTCTTATATATTATTTACCATATATGCCACCTGCATTAATGAGTTTGATTCTATGCCATAATTAGTTTATTCTCTCTCGTAGGATAAGGAATAAGTGGCAAGAACTATGAAAGGTTGAATTATTTCTACATAAAGAATTTTGGACGTTCTAGAGAAGATCGAAGGAGGATTTGGAAAGATTCACTACAAGATCTTTGAAGATTTTGAAGATCGGCTATTTTAGGATAGTCCAGTTCCTACACGAGTCTGAGAACACAAGATCTTCATTGAAAACTCAATTCTGAAGATTTACAAATCATATACACGAATTCCACTTGAAGGAAACTTACTTTAAATGAAGAACTTCGTTCAAGATTTGAAAGGAATCAATTGAGAAGGAAATTGACTCCTAAAAGGAAACAGAGAATCTTGTGAAGACTCCTTACCTTAAGGAGATTGTATATAAGCCTACTCAAACATTGACCAATCAATTGAAGTGAGCTACTTCAATAATCGAGTTCATCATTCATCACATTCAATTGAGTGTTTGAGAGTCTTTTTTATTCTTTTATTTTGTTCGTTTCAACACTTCAACATTCTTACATTGCTGACGAACTAAGTTTGTTTAGTTTCTTTTTCTTTTACAAAAACTTTTTAGTTCTTAGAGATTAAGTATTTCTGTAGCTGAAAGGGATTCTTAGCTATAGTAAAGTCCACGGGACGTTGCCAGGGAAGTAATTGATAGGATCAGGTATAATGTTGGCTAGGCTAGGAGGGAGTCCGAGTCGAGTAAGTCCAAGCTGTACTTTGTGGGACGCAAACCGATTTATCAATAAAAGAGCTCTGAGAGGTAGTGGGACCCTCCCCAAAGACATATATTTTATATATCACTTCCGCTTTCAATTTATTTCTTTGTGTTGCAACACAATTTAGTAATACATAATTTGTGTGTTCTAATACAAGCTGCGATCATACATTAATGTTGCAACATCATACTGCGTACTCTATACTCCCCCACCCTCGTTTCACAAATTATAAATGTATGATAAATAAAATTTATATTAAAAATGTTCAATCGGTTGATTAATTGATTTGTAATAAATAATTAAAAAAAATGTTCGAAACGTATAACTTTATAAACTAGAAAATTAACAAATTTAGTGAATTATTGTAAACACCTGAACTGAAAATTATAAGTTATGTGCACTTTGATATCATATATCTAAACATCATGATCTTATATATACTATTATATAAAAGACAAAATCATAATATGTTGGCATGTGATTTTTTCACATCCAATTTTTAGTGAAATAATCAAACATATATTTTGACATAGAAAACATTTAATTTCTGACATCCAATATCCAATGTAATTATAATGAATTCCAAAATTGAACAAGGCAAAGGTAAATTAACTAAAAAATACACAGAAAAATGCACCAAAGTTTACATTATATAAAATTGCAAATTTCCTACTCATGAAATTTTAACTACAATTTCCATAATTTACTTAGCAGTCTTTTACTCATAAAAATAACATGCCATTACTTTAATTTGTTTAAGGAATCTATATATATATAAATGTTTGACTATTTTTTAAATATTAATTATTTCGCTCCAAAACAAAATTTATTTACTATTTTAAAAAATTAATTTAACAATTTATGGTATATATCAAATGATCACTTATGGAAATTGCGGCTAATTATTTAAGGAAGTAATTAATCCATATTTTAAGATACCTTAATTACACAAATCATGTGAATTAATTAGTAAATGGTATAAAGTGGACGAAGTTATTTTTTATATTTTTGGTTGTTTCTATAGGAAATAAATTAATCAATATATGACATAAAGTGAGCAAATTTATTTAGGTTATTGATTACTGTTTTTTGGTTGGAAATTTGTTGAAAAATTAATCAATATACGGTGTACATTTTTCTGTAATGCGCATGCCAATATATTGATTTTTAGGCGTGTGTTTCAATTTTTATTTCAATTTTTCGTATGAAATTAATATAATAAAATTACGTAACTCTGACAAAATAATATGAATGGATATTTTCATATAATGTGCGTGTATCGATGAATTTTGTAGAAAAAGCACTGGTCAGTTGTTTTTTTTAATTTTTTGTATAATTAGTGGGTCTCGATTTAATTCATTTTTTTGTTACGACATTTCAAAAGATTTTTTCGTGAAATCCATTCTTCATTTTTTTAGCATGATAACGAATGTTGATTTTTTTGGCTTACAAAATCTTATAACTGATTGTTTTACTCAACTACTTAAATCCATTTTAATTAACGAAACAATATAAGTTTTATATTTATACTTATATTCACATAGGTTCTTAAATATATGATAAAACTTTACCGAAATAATTATTTTATGGAATCACGTTGTTTGTCCCATTTTTGTTACGTTTTTCGTGTCTGTTTTCTCGTTCTTTTTCCCCCATTTTGAGCCATTTTGTGGTTTTAGAGTCATTTTGTCGTTTATTTCGTGTTTTGAGTCTTTCTGTGTTTTTCGTGTATTTTTCCGGTTTCCTTTGTTTTTCTTTCATTTGTGGTGTGTAGGTCGAAAGCTTCGGGAAGATCGAATTTTGGGCAAAAGTCAGTTGGGCAAGCGTAATTAGATAGAGGAGTTCGTTGGGAACACACAGGAAAAAACGAAACTCAATTCCGATACCAGACGAGCCCGAACGACTCCAAAATGTGAAGTAGTGCGAGCTGTCCAGGCCCCGCGCGCCCGCCGCGCCGCGGAGCGCCCCGCCGCGAAGCTACCACGAGGTGGACTGAGGCTCAGCGTCCTCTACCTGCCGCGCCGCTGAGAAGCCCCGCGCCGCGGAGCGCTACCCTGGCGCGCCGTGCTCTCCCTGCCGTACCGCGATGCGCTCATCTGCTGCGCC